GGCAGGCCCGGGCTGGATTCGAACCCACCACCTTAGGTGTATGTGGCTGGCGCCTTAGCCGCTTGAGCCACAGGCACCAAGCCCCCAACCTGTCTTAAAAGTTTTAATTCAGGTGGAATTTATTTTGGTGTAAGGAGGGAGATAGGGATGTAACTTTGTGGCCACCCCATCATTCCAACATATTCAAAACTTTATACCTTTCTCCACTGGTATAAACTCCACTTTTCACACATGCACATTCCTTGAAATTGTCCCATTGACCTGACCACCTTCACATGTCTAGGACCTAACTGCCTTCTACGTCTGCTGGTCCCTGTCATTGCTAATCTATTTCAAAATTTTCTGGCTATTTGTCTTTCTTTCTATTTTTCCTGGCTATTTTTATGTGCTTGTTTCTCATAAGAATTTCTGAATTGGTTGCCTGTTACGCCCCAAAATAAAGTATGTTTTAATCACCTTGAATGAATAATTAATGAAGTAGAACAGACAACTTTCCAATACGAAGCCCCCTATCCAACAGCAGGGTGATCTTTCCTTTTTTGTTTGAGACAGTCTTACTCCATTGCCCTGGGTAGAGTGCCATGGTGGCATAGCTCACAGCAACCTCAAACTCTTGGGATCAAACAATTCTCTTGCCTAAGCCTCCCAAGTAGCTGGGACTATAGCCGCTCACCACAACACCGGGCTAGTTTTTCTATTTTAGCAGAGAGAGGCCTCGATCTTGCTCAGGCTGGTCTTGAACTCCTGAACTCAGGCGATCCACCTGCCATGGCCTCCCAGAGTGCTAGGATTACAGGTGTGAGGCACTGCACCCAGCCAGGGTGTTCTTTTTACCTATTCAATTTTAAGAAGTCCAATGGGGTAGCTCCCAGTCAGCCTGCAAGCTCTTATAGGTGAGTGTGCCCCCTTGTTCAGTGGGAGCAGGTGACACTGCTCCTAGGATCAGAGACATTTGTAGAGACCTCGCTGAACAACTGCAGGGCTGAAGGAGGAGCAACTTGTCACTTCCTCTCTCTTCCCTGAGCCTGTCCCAGTGGCTTCCTCTTTGTTGCAAAGACTTACAAAGCTGGTGACCTAATCAAGCCTGATTTCTACAGAGGCATCTGAGGGAAATAACCCAATGCTTCCGTGGGATCTGGGTCAAGGCCTTGTCTCCCTTTGAGATGCTTCTTGACCACTGTCAATGATCACTATCAATCCATCCACTTCAGCCTCCTAGCATTCTAGAACTACAGGTGTGAGCCACCGAGCCTAGCCTGGTATAATTCTTTTTGCTCTCTCAAAAATGTAAAGCCTGGTGTGGTGGCTCACACCCGTAATCCCAGCACTTTGAGAAGCTGAGGCAAGGAGGATCACTTGAGGCCAGAAATTTGAGGCCAGCCTGGGCAGCATAGCAAGAGTCTGTCTCTACCAAAAACCCCCAAAAACAAGAAACTCATGTCACTTTACCACCCAAATCCTACATTTTATAATTGAAATACTTCAAATAATACACTTTTGTGTACAGAAACATAAAACAATAATATAGTGACTTATATTTCTAGTGCTAAAATAAAGATTAAACATGTCATAACTTGTACAATTCAGTTTTGGCATAGCTTCACTTTTTCATATGTCAGAAACCTCCAAAATGGAAAGTGTCCAGGGCCTGTTGAGGTCAGCAAATGCTGCTGTCAGTGCAGTGCAGCATCTCACCTGTCACCCTGAGATTAAGAGGATCAGGTCTTTTTTTTTTTGGAGACGGAGCCTCAAGCTGTCCCCCTGGGTAGAATGCTGTGGCATCACAGCTCATAGCAACCTCCAACTCCTGGGCTCAAGCAAGTCTCCTGTCTCAGCCTCCCAAGTAGCTGGGACCACAGGCGCCCGCCACAACACCTGGCTATTTTTTGGTTGCAGCCGTCATTGTTGTTTTTGGTGGGCCCGGGCTGGATTCAAACCTGCCACCTTAGGTGTATGTGGCTGGTGCCTTAGCCACTTGAGCCACAAGCGCCGAGCCGAGGATCAGGTCTTAACCCCATCTCTACTCACATGACGATTTCCTTCCGCGTCTGCTCCAGCATCATGTACTGTGTCCACTCTTGTGCAGTCTCGTATGTCTTAGACTGATCCACGATCTTCTGGAACATTGTCCTCTTCCTATGAAACACACCAGTTCATTAGGGGGAGCAATTCTTTCTTTCTTCTTTTTTTTAAGACTAGTCAAGTGAAGCAGTGGGAGTGGAGAAGGAACAAAGATATTTGCAACCGGTTGTGACCAATTCGTTATAAACACCAATGCACTCAGATCAGTCAGAGGAGCAAGTCTAAGAATAAGGCAACACCTGGACTTTCAACGTTGGGTGATTCGGACAGAGGCTTATTAAATTAACATAATTCTCAAATCAAAATTTAAAGAACCAGGGCCTGAGAGCAAAGACCTCCATGCTAACCCCAGACTCCACCACTGACTTGTTATCTGATTTTAGCAAATTCCTTGCCCTGAATGCCAGTTTTCCCATCTGTCCAGAGGGGCAATAATATTTAATTCACAGGGTTATAGTGAGATCAATGTGTCCACAGCACAAGTGTTGTGCCTGGCACATAGTTACACACTAAAAATCAATTAGAACTATGGGGTTTGTTGTTATTATAATCATTGTTGAGTGCTTATTATTAAAATGAAGAGATACCAACTTGAAATACAAGGCCAGGTCTGTGGCAATGATCGCAATGTCCATCATGTGGATGGCATGCTCATGCTGCCGGCGATTGAGATTTTGAAAGATATTCAGGTTCTAAAGAAAAAAACAGAAGAGAGAGAGAAGTGATGGTGGCAGTAGTCACTCAGTTACTAGCTGCCATCCAGATGATGGAGAAGCAGCCCAGGCCAACGGAACGAATGCTGCCTGGGCACACTCAGGCTCAGCTGGGGTTTCTCTTCTAGGCCCCGGTGCCATCACAGAGGGCCCCTGTACTACCTCGTCTCTGAGCAACGTTTTGCCAAACTCCAAGTGGTGTCTTTCCAAGATGGAGGACCCATGGAGCTTGGCCAGTGGGTTCTGGGATCTGAATGGAGGGAACGGGTGGAAAGAGAGAGAGAAAGAGAGAGAACACAAATTAGTATAGATCAGACACTAGAAAATTAGGACTAAGGCCGGCGTGGTGGCTCACACCTCCTAGCACTCTGGGAGACTGAGGCAGGTGGATTGCTTGAGCTCAGGAGTTTGAGTCCAGCCTGAGTAAAAGCAAGGCTCTGTCTTTAAAAAAAATCTGGGCATTATGGCAGGTGTCCCAGCTACTTGAGAGGCTGAGGCAAGAGGATCACTTGAGCCCAGGAGTTTGAGGTTGCTGTGAGCTATGATGCCATAGCACTCGACTATGGGCAAGAAAATGAGACTCTCAGAAAAAAAAAAGAAAGAAAATTAGGTCTAAACAATAAGTCTCCTGACTCTCAAGCTTTAGTTTTCTCCACAGGTGATTCTGAGCCATTTTTCAGTCATGGACTCTTCAGAGAATCTTCTGGAGAATGTAGACACTTATGCCCAGAAAAAGGCACAAGCACAACACAACATCACATGCAATTTTAGAGACCTTGACACTTTGAAGCTCATCAATCCTCTGATTCTCCACATCTCAGTCTTAGGCGAAGCCATTGATTTCAAACAAGCAATGTGTTTACTCATTTCCTTATTTAATAAAAGTTTTTTGTGTATTTACTATGTGCCAAGCACTGTGCCCAGCACCCAATTCCCACAGTGTAAAATGCAAACACAGTATCTAGCCTTGGAGAAACACAGACGTCTTTTCTGAGAAGACTCAGAGAAGCATGAATCGTAGTGCTTTCCAATGACTTACAGAACACGGCCCTGGGCAGAGTCTCAGTTTCTCATTCGTAATATAGGGGTAACACCAGTCACCACTCTGCCCAGTCCAGAGGATGTCATGAGGACTAACAGAGACCACAGTCCAGGGACTCTGAAATGTAAACTTGAGGAGTGGGACTATGCCTGTTCTGCTCACCATGGTGCCTCCTGTACCTCCCATGGGACTGCCACACCGTGCTGGGGGCATTATAAATATCAAGTGCATGAATGAATCATTATTGTTACTAGTATTGTGACTCAAATTAGTTCAGCAGGGAAGGCAGGGGAGGAAGAGGATAAAAGAGTTTATGGGTCAGTTTCCTATTCCTGCTGTTACAAACTACCACAAACTTAATGGCTTTAAACAATAAAAACTTATTATCCTACTGCTCTGGAGTTCAGAAGTCTAAAATGGCTCCGTGGGCTGCTTCCCTTCTGCAGGCTCTCAGGAAGAATCTGTTTTCTTGCTTTTTCTAGCTTCTGGAGGCCACCGGCATTCCTTGCTTACAGCCCTTTCTTTCCTCTGTCTTTAAAGCCAGGAGCGTAGCATGTTCTCTCCCCTGACCGCCTGCCTCTGTTTATAGGGACACTTGTGCCCACACAGGGCCCACCCAGACAAGTACCATATCAAGATCCTTAACGACAATCACTTCTCTCAAGTCCTCAAAGTCCCATTTGTGTGTTTATTTTTCTTTTGAGACGGGGACTTGCTCTGTTGCATCATTACCGCTCACTGCACAAACTCCTGGGCTCAAGTGATCCTCCTGTTTCAGCCTCCTGAGTAACTGGGACTATAGGCATGTGCCACTATACCCAGCTACATTTTTAATTTTTGGTAGCAACAGGGTCTCTCACTACGTTGCTCAGGCTGGTGTCTTGAACTCCTAGCCTCCCAAAGTTATAGGTGTGAGCCACTGAGTGCAGCCCAGTCTCTTGTGAATGTAAGGCAACATGCTCCCAGGCTTTGAGGTTTGGGATGTGGACATCTTTGGGGGGTCATTATTCTATTCACCACAGGAATGGACCCAGATCCCAAGGGCAGAAGGAACTGAAAAGCTGTAGGCAGAGACCTCACCCTCGGCCACTAAGTTTGGGAGCCATGCACAGCTGGGTAACAAATTCCAAGGGCTGAGGGGAAGGGAGGGATGCAGGGGAGGGAGGCTGACTCACTTCATCTGGTAGAGGTTGTTGGTGCCTCTGTGGTCAATGTCATGGCAGAAAGCAGCAGTGACCATGGCCAAGGCCTCCAGGTCTGTGAAGTATCGCTTCAGTTTTCCCGTCTAGAAGAGCAATCAGAATCCAAGTCACTCCTTTTTTGTAGGGACTAGATAGAAGCAGGGCTGAAAAGGGAGGCATGATGGGCAAGCCCCAGAGCCTAAAAATGTGAGTCTGATCTTGCTTCTATGTCTGCCTCTGTGGAGTTTCCAGAGGTTTGCCCAGAGCTGAGTTTTCTAGGATATGAGACCTGCATTGCCAGAATGAGGATAGTCCTAGGCAAATGGGGACAATTGATCATTCTATTCCCAAGTAACCCCAAGTTGGTTTCATTCCACACTGGGCCTCAATATCCCACTCCGCATACTGATGGGGAGGGGGTGGGAATAGATGATTTTGAGAAACTTACAGCTGTCAGATTTTAGGATCCAGACTTTCTGAATATAGACTGGTAAGTAAGCCTTCCAAACTTTGTCTATTGGTTTAAGCACATTGCAGAGGAATCTTTCCATGGGACTCTTTTAAATACTTAAATTTTTAGTTGTGCTGGCATTGAAGTAAAGGGTGGGGAAGAGCTTTGGAGAGCTGATGCTGACTCTGGGACCCTAAGTAATAAATCAAATCTATGTGGTGTTCTTGTCACCATCTACGGTGGCTTGGTCAGAATTCTTGCTTGAATTCCTGCTAGGCCCTGTAAGCAGTGACTCTGGGCTGACCATTCCAGCATGGGAGAAGAAATGAGAATGAGGAGACTGAGCAAGGGCATAGATTTTCATCACAATCTAGATTATGATGATAGAATAACATTTATTTTTGAGGTAGGATTTTCCTCTCTTGCCCAAGCTGGAATGCAGTGGTGGGGTCATAGCTCACTGCAGCCTTGCACTCCTGGGCTGACTCTGTCTTCCTGCCTCACTCAGCCTCCTGAGTAGCTAGCACTACAGGTGTGCACCACCATGCCGGGCTAATAGGAGAACACCTTTAAATAAGATATAAAAAGCCTCTGAGCCTAAAACACTGACACAACCACACAAAGGTATATCCAGCCAAGGATCTTCTAACACTGTAAGAGTGATGAAAACAACCTCCATGACCAACAGTATGGTACTGTGTAAAAAAATTATTGTATATTTTGGCCGGGTACAGTGGCTCATGCCTATAATCCTAGCACTCTGGGAGGCTGAGTCTGATGGATTGCCTGAGCTCACGAGTTCGAGATCAGCCTGAGCCGAGAGTGAGACTTCGCCTCTAAAAAGAGACAGGCAATGTGGTGGGTGCCTAAGTCCCAGCTACTTGGGAGGCTGAGGCAAAAGAATCACTTGAGCTTAAGAGTTTGAGGTTTCTAAGAGCTATGAGGCCATGGCACTCTACCGAGGGTGACAAAGTAAGACTCTGTCTCAAAAAAAAAAAAAAATTATGGTATATTTAAACAACATAATACTGTATAGCCCTAAAATCTTATCATGGATAAACCTTACAAACATTACGCTAAATAAAATAAGTCGGACACAAAAGGACAAGTATTATGTGATTTCACTTATATGATGTAAAATAGTCAAAATCGTAGAAACAGAACATAGAATCGTGGCTACAAGGGGCTGGGGGATGTAGGGAATGTGAAGCTCTTGTTTAATGGGCACAGAGTTTCTGTTTGGGACGATGAAAAAGTTTATAGAGATGGATAGTGGTGATGGTTATGCAACATTGTGAATGTACTAAAGGCCGCTGAATTGCACCTATAAAAATGTTTAGAATAGGCCAGGCATGGTGCTGACTGGTTCAGGGTGCTGCCTAATTCCCTAATCATTTCTTTGCTCAGTAAAACTCTGCTAAACTTATTTTATTTTATTTTATTTATTTTGAGATAGAGTCTCCCTTTGTCACCCTGGGTAGAGTGCTGTGGCATCATCGTAGCTCACAGCAACCTCAAACTTCTAGGCTCGAGCCAGCATTTTGCCTCAGCCTCCTGTGTAGCTGGGACTACAAGTACCCATCACAATGCTTGGCTAGTTTTCCTATTTTTAATAAAGACAGAATCTCACTCTTGCTCAGGCTGGTCTCAAACTCCAGAGCTCAAACAATCCACCTTGCTTTCCCTCCCAGAGTGCTAGGCCACTGTTCCCAACCTAAATTTAATTATCTAACATTTTTCCTTTAACATATTGGCATCAAAAGTGGGATCTGATGTAGACGTCTAGTAATCCCCACCCCCAGGAGCACTGAGTGACCAGATAAAGGTACTTATCGGGGCCCATGGTGCCACTGGGTATCATGGGTAAGTTCTCTCTTGGATTCAAGCTCCATAGGTTTGTGTTTTAAGCTCTATGACTCTATCTAAGCAATTTTTACTGGACCAAGTCCAGAATCATATTGGATCCAAATATTAACTGGATTGGATCCAATTAGAAACCCTCCATATCTAAGGAATTTGAAACTACTTTCTATGATACCACTTAATTTTATGTACAAAAATTGTAAGCCCCAAACCTGTACTTTTTGGGAAAAAAAGTGAATTAATCTTACTAAGGACAATTCAGAATTACAGTGGCCACAGTAGAGATGTTTTAATCTAGATAAGATCATTCACTTGCGAAGGCCTAGACCTTTGCTTTCTGCTGGAAGCTATGCTTGCCAGTCTGCGGGATGCCCAGCCTGTAGGCTGCAAAGGGTGGGGGTGGGGCAGAAAGGAAGAAAGAAAAAGTAAAGAAAATCTAACAACACTGTTATAATTCCAGTTATTACCTTAAAATTTTGTCCATAACAAAAATAATTAGATTTCTTTGTCAACTGTGTCATTAAACCATGACCACTTAAAGTCTTATTTTTTAATTTAATTTAATTTAATTTTTGTAGAGACAGAGTCTCACTTTATTGCCATCAGTAGAGTGCCATGGCGTCACACTGCTCACAGCAACCTCCAACTCCTGGGCTTAGGTGATTCTCTTGCCTCAGCCTCCTGAGTACCTGGGGCTACAGGCATCCTCCACAATGCCCAGCTATTTTTTTGTTGCAGTTTGGTGGGGCCAGGTTTGATCCCTCCATCCTCGGTATATGGGGCTGGCACCCTACACACTGAGCCACAGGTACCGCCCAACCACTTAAAGTCCTATTATTCACAAGCTGTTAATTGTTTACTCTGGTATTTCTTCAGCAATTATAAGCCTAAAGTGTTTCATCTTCAAGGAATTTCATGGAAAGGACTCTGATGTACATAAGTTTCTGATAACTTTAAGGTTATACCATTAGACTAGTAAGAATTCCCAGAACTCTAATGAAGATACTGGTTCATAAAACTCCTAACTCAACATCAAGCAGAACAAAACTTAATTAAATACTAAGAAAATAATTTGACAGACTGTCATGCTACGTCAGCCAATACTAACATTTTCAAGATATGCAATTGGAGCTGGGTACAGCGGCTCATGCCTGTAATCCTAGCACTCTGGGAGGCCAAGTCAGGTGGACTGCTTGAGCTCAGGAGTTAGAGACCCACCTGAGCCAGAATGAGACCCCTATCTCAAAAATATCCGGGCATTGTGGAAGGCGCCTGTAGTCCCAGCTACTCAGGAGTCTGAGACAAGTGAATCACTTGAACCCAAGAGTTTGAAGTTGCTGTAAGCTATGATGCCACAGCACTCTACCAAGAGTAACAAAGTGAAACTCTGTCTCAAAAAAATACAAATAAAAAAGATACACAATTGGAATTCTGTAAGATTGATCCAACTCAAATTACCTATGATAACCTATTTTTTAAAAAGTGTCATGCACCTAAATTGGAGAAACTAAATTAGTATTTAAGAGGATATAAGTCCAATGTTAAACTTGGAGTCATGGAGAGCGCAGCCAGTGGGTTTTTTTTTTTTTTTTTTGTAGAGACAGAGTCTCACTTTATTGCCCTCAGTAGAGTGCCGTGGCGTCACACAGCTCACAGCAACCTCCAACTCCTGGGCTCAGGTGATTCTCTTGCCTCAGCCTTCTGAGTAGCTGGGACTACAGGCACCCGCCACAGTGCCCGGCTATTTTTTTTTGTTGCAGTTTGGCTGGGGCCGGGTTTAAACTCGCCACCTTTGGTAAATGGGGCCACAGGCACTGCTCAACCAGTGGGGTCTTTAAGCCCTCATAATTAAAAGCCTTGCATTCCAGGCTCAGCACCTGTAGCTCAAGCAGCTACTAGATCATTTGGACACAGATGGATTTCACTTTACTACCACTTTCAATTCCTGTTTTATGGTTTTACAAAAGCTGTCTCATGCAGGAAGATCAATAACAGTAGGTAAACAGTTACTAGAAAGTGTTTTTTCATTATGGAGCATTACTGGAGGAATCTCCAGACACAAAGGTACTCATTTCACTAGAAAAGTCATAAAACAGTTAAATACAATATTATAAACAGTGGCATTAAGCAAAGCTACTGAATAAATTGGATTGCCCTGGTCAAAGGTTTTACTGATTGATGGCAATCAGATCCACTCCCACCAGAAAACATAGATTGACCTCTTATGAAAGTTACTGAAAGGCTTATGCCACCTAGTAATAGAACCTTGTCTATCTCCCACTCTTTTTTTTTTTTTTTTTTTTTGAGACAGAGCCTCAAGCTGTCCCCCTGGGTAGAGTGCCGTGGCATTACAGCTCACAGCAACCTCCAACTCCTGGGCTCAAGCGAGTCTCTTGCCTCCGCCTCCCAAGTAGCTGGGACCACAGGCGCCCGCCACAACGCCCGGCCATTTTTTGGTTGCAGCCGTCATTGTTGTTTGGCGGGTCCGGGCTGGGGATCCGAACTATCTCCCACTCTTATAAACTGACATGACTCTATAGGGTGGGACTTTAATGCACTATGTTAAAGGGTATTTTTACCTGGCATAAGAAGTCCTTTGAGACCTACAAACTGATGACAACTACAGCTTTCATGATCTAGAATCCAGAGACTGAGTCTTTTGGAAAAGACACCAGAGAAAAACTCTCCTTCAGCTCCACTGGAAGAGGCCATAGCAAGTTCTCTGCAGCAAAATTCCAAGGATCTGCATCTCTGAAAAGGGCTTTCCCAGCTCGGTGCCTATAGCTCAGG